GGTGGGGAAAAAAAGTATCAGGTGAGCAATGCATGAATGTGAGCAGTTCATCTGTAGTAGAAAAAGGCCAACGGTTTGTACGTCTTTCTCTGAAGCACATTTCTCAGGAGAGATTTGACTGGGGGATGCTTATATGTTTTCATTGTTAGCAATGTATTTTGCAACCCCAAAAGCTAAAACCATCAAAATCTTTTGCATCATCACACAGCAGTGTATGTAAGTACAAGCAATGACAACAAATAGAGGGTGAGTTTTTGCTGTATGAATGACTTTATTACTAAAAAGAGATGCCAACACTGATTCTGTATTTGTGAAATTTAGAATTTCTGTTGTGAGAGAGACAAAAATAAGTGGCAATGGCTGAAGCCATAAGTTTGCTGTCATCACTATCTTTTTACTCGTTTTGAGGATTAGAAGCTTCCACTTTGACATAAGAATCCTGAAAGCCATCCCAAAAGCATGCCTGTTCCCTCAAGATGTCTCTAACACAGCCTGCTATGCTTTCAGCAAGGAACAAACCTCCACTTGTTCACAAGTTCCTTGCTGTGACTGTCCACAAACTTTCATCTGCCCATTTGGCTCTTCCCTTCTCTCCCTTTTTCTGCTAGTTCTTTACCCCTATGTTTCTTTCTTGGTTTTTTGACGTTTGTTTTTCAGATAGTACTTCACTGTTTATAATTGCTCTGTTACTGTTACTTCAGCTTCCCTACATGGAACTTCACAAGTGTTGTAGCTCTACTGTTTTGAAAACAAACTCCTTCAACCTTTAAAATAAAAATCCAGGTTTATGAGAAAACCTGTAGTCCTTATGAAGGACGCATGTTCTGTTGCCCTGTTCATGTGCCAGGGTCAAAACCATGTCTCTCATCTCTGACGCAGAAGCTCAACATAAGCAGACCTCCTAAGATTTTCTCCTTATCGACCCAACAAGCAGCAGCACATGTGTTGGCTGCTCAATAGCCACCATAGATTCTGCTGTGTATGGACAGTTCAGAAGACTGACAACAGCCATTAAAAAACCACAACCAGTGACAACAGTCACCTGTGGAGAGTGAGCAATTTCTTTATGCTCTGAACTGTCATGAAATGTGTATAAGCCAAGATAAAAAAAGGAATGTAAACAAAAGCTAAAATCTTGTAAGTATTTTCCTAGTGAGTTGAATTGATTGTGGAATGTACATTTTTCAAGATCTCTTCCTACAAATTAAAAATTGGAAAAAGCCAGTAGTCTGATATTTTAAAGTAAAAGTATCAACAGAAGTAAAAAATGCTAAAAATAGCAGTGCAGTGCTAGCCACTTCTTTTTTTATTCATAGATGTGAGGATTTGTGTTGCCTAAAATGTGGTCCATGAGATGACGAAATGGGCCTCCCTATAGTTGGTCGGAAATCATATAAAATTGTCAAAATAAAATTGCTCTTAATTGTAAGAACATAGTCTGTAAAAAATAAAGTAGACTGAATAGCCTAGTGACCATACACTGAATAACATGGTTTTAGAAGCCACTATATTAACCGCTCTAGTTAATTAACCCATTTATATATATATATATCTCCATTGCAACACAGGACCGTGTATGCATTTCAGAGCTTCAGAATGTTAGCAGATGAAACTTTCTAACCTGAGAGATGTCACAGATAAGAAACAAAAATACAGATGATCTTTGGACCTATAAATGTATATTCATCACCTGAAATCTCCGGTAAAGACTGGAATATTTATTAACAGCAATTCTATAATCTAACTCTATACATCGAACTGCCAAGGAACCTTGTAAAAGCTAACATGTATATTCATGCATATTTGCCATGAGCAATTTATTTTCAATGTATCTTTATGGGGTTTTTAATCAATGTTTGAAAGTAGGCAGTTGGTCACTCCAAATTCCATCATATGATTTTTCTTTCTTCAACTCTTTTATGAGATGAAGAATCAATTATTCTTCTCAATTCTTATCAATTGTTCTTCACAAATCTTACTTTGGTTCAGCACATTAAATATACCTCAAGCCCAAAAATTAACTTTATGTGAGCATCTACACAGATCAACATTCACTTAAATAGCTGTTTCCAAGGAAATAATAGAGTTCCATAAAAAGTTCTAAATGAAACTATTCTCAGAGATTAGTGAAACATCTAGAAATACTTTTCAATCTATTTACTGATGTCTAATGCAAACATGATGGAGACAAAAATATATACTTCACAAATCCCTCCTTCAAATGAACAAAATATGAACAAAATATGAACAAAAGAGGGTTTATAGGGTTGTCACAGTGTTGTATTTTGGTTGCCTCATTCAATTCCTTGAGATTCCTGTGAAAGTAATTTTCCCCATCCTCTCCCTTTGTAAAGTTAGGAATAATGCTACTAGCTCAAATAGTGCATGAGGTTTATTGCTCACTCACAGTGACAGATGCTAAATGTTACACACAATTCTAGAACTCAAAGTTGGAAGTGACCTCAAGAGATCATCTACTCCAAATACCCTGCTGAGGCCAGTGTCAACTAGAGCAAATCACTTCTTAAAACAGTTTGGAAAATAATAGTCTTAGATTTGCCTTTTTTTCCCTCCAAATAAACACTGGAAATTTAACATTTTTATGGCAGTTTTATGTCTTTCTAAGCATTCTAAGGTCTCTTGCTCTGCTATGATTCGTTCTTTTCTGAGTTATTATAGCAATGGAATGGGACACGTTGAAAAAAATTCAATAGGTGGCACCAGAACACTAAAAAACTCATTTCAAACAGCAAAGACGATACATTTCCTCACATAACCTTATTGAGAGATACTAGGTAAACTGAAAAAAAAACCAAAAAGAAGGATCCCAACACAGCAGACTGTGTTATCCTATATTAACAGGCATATTGCCACAATTAATTTATTTTTCCCAAAATGTCCCACAGCTAACAAATATCTCTGAGCTAACCTCGGGTTAACACAGTTAGCCTCAAAACTGCCTGCTCATGTTCATATTCTAACACATAACTCTGGAATCTTGAAGGCTGAAATCTAACAATATCTTTAAAATTTAATAAGGACATCCAACCCAAAAAACCACTATGCTGTGTGGTATGAAAACCTGATGATTACCAAACTAAGCAAGTTGGTCTGTGTTGAAAA